GTATTTGCTTGTTAGATGGTACTAAGTTGGGTGTTGAGATTTTCAGGTGTAAATCCAAATTGAAGGAAATTAAAAGAAAGCGGATACTCACCTTGAGCTATTGTGAAAAGGGTAAATTAGTCTGAACATGTGAAGCTCTAGCTCACTGCCTGGTCTACAGAAAGTACAGATTATATAGTGGTTAGTATTGTTGTATGGTCATTGTCACCACCATCATTATCATTATCACCAGTGCTACCATCGCCATCCCCATCCCCATCATCATCATCACCACCACCATCAGCTCATCATCACTATCATTACCATCACCATCATTATTGTTAACAGCATCATTACCATCACCTTCACCATCAGCATCACTATCATTGCCATTAACACCATCACCATCACCATCACCATCAGCATCAGCCCACCATCACTATTATTACCGTTAACACCATCATCATCACCATAACTATCATCATCAGTATCATTACCATTAACACCATTATCACCATCACCACCGTCACCATCATCATCATCATCAGCAGCAGCCCATTATCACTATCATTACCACCATCATCATTACCATTGACACCATCATCATCATCACCAACAGTCATCATTACCATTAACACCATCATCACTACCATCACCATCATCATCATCACCATCATCATCAGCCCATCATCACAATGATTATGTGACATCATTATTATCACTGTCATCATCATCATGACCATCATCATCACCGTCACCATCATCACCAGCCCATTATCAGTGTCATTACCATCATCATCATCACCATCATCATCACCACCGTCAACCCATCATCACTGTCATTGCCATCATCACCATCATTATGTAACATCCTCATTATCATCACCATCATGACCATTATCACCACCACCACCACCATCATCATCATCACCACAACCACACCATAATCCTTATCATTACCATCATCACCATTACCATCATCACCACCATCACCATCATCACCACAACCACACCATAATCCTTATCATTACCATCATCACCATTACTATCATCACCACCATCACCACCATCACCATCATCCCTCTGCCCACACCATAATCCTTATCATTACCATCATCACCATTACTATCATCACCACCATCACCACCATCACCATCATCACCACCACCACACCATAATCCTTATCATTACCACCATCACCATTACTATCATCACCACCACTATCACCACCACCATCATCTTTGTTATTATTACCACTGCCACTATCACGGCATAACCCTTGCCACCACTGCAATCATTATCATTATTACCACCATCATCACCGTCATTGTCACTATTATTATTACCACCAACATTATCACCAGTCATTATCATTATCATTGTTACCACCACTACCACTACCATCATCAACACCATCACCTTCATCACGATTTTCACCACATCACCATTACTAGCACCATCATCATCACCACCATCATTATCCTCCTCACCTCATTATTACCAGTATTAGCATCATCACTACCACTACCACCACCAGCATCACAAATCATCACTATTATCATTATCACAATCACCACGATGATGACTACCACCCCATTATCACTCACCATCACAACTGTCACTAGCAGTGACAACACTTGTGGTAACTCAATATTATGTCATCATCAGCAGCATTGATTTCCAGAACACCACCCACATTATGAGCAGTGTTAGTGCAGATGGATGTGTTCCCTTCTCTCTCTTTTTAAAAAAATTAAAAAATACACATATTTATTTATTTTATGTGTACGTGTGTATTGTCTGCACATATGTGAGTGCACCTGTGTCGTGCAATGCTGTGGAGGTCAGAAGAGGGCGTTGGATTCCTCTGGAACTGGAGTTAAGGACAGTTTGTATCTGCCATGTGGGTGCTGGGAATTGAACCCAGATCCTCTGCAAGAGCAATCAGTGCTCTTAACCGCTGAACCATCTCTCCAGCCACCCCCCATCTCCCTTATGAACTTCCAAATTACCTTTCTTCCCTGACGTTTTCAAGGTGATCAGGAAATTGAGCACAGGTCATGACTTTGCCTTTCCAGGTCTTTATGTACATAAGCTATTTGAGACACAGACCAGAGTGATAATTTCCTATTTTGGGAAAAAGCAGATCTGTACTTACTCTGAGCCGTTTCCAGCTCTAAGGAAAAGAATTGCCGGGTATGGTGGTGCAAGCCTTTAATCCTAGTACTTGGGAGGCAGAGGCAGGTGGCAGGCTGGTCTACATAGAGAGCTCCCGGATAGCTGGGGCTACAGAGAGACTCTGTCTTATAAAAAATATAATCATAAGAAAATGAAATCGAGCATCGTGGGAAAGAACTTTGTGCTTAGTTGGTTTCCACACCCTTCCCCATCTCCATCACCATTTAGGCAGCATGTCACGCGCTTCTACATTGGGCTCCACAGTCCAGGGTAGAGAAGTTCATGTGCATGTACATTGGTACCTGGTGATGGCATCATGGCTGGGCCATTAATAAAGGTAAATGGGGTTTGGGGAGATGGCTCAGTGGGTAAAGTGCTGTCTGTGTAAGTGCGAGGACCTGACTGCGTCCTCATGTGGGGCAGAGACAGGTGGATCCTAGGGATCCATGGTCACTCAGCCTAGCACAGTTGACAGGCTCCAGGTTTAGTGAGAGACTGTGTCTCAAAATATTGAGTGTTATAGCTAGCTTCAGCTATCAACTTGACACAAACCTGTAGTTACCTGGGAGGAGGGAGCCTCAGCTGAAGAATTTCCCAGATCAGATTGGCCTGTGGCCAAGTCCAGGAGGAATTTTCTTGATTGCTAATTGATGTAAGAGGACTCATCCCACTGTGGGTAGTGCCATCCCCAGCCAGATGGGCCTGGGCTGTATAACAAAGGCAACTGAGCAAACCAGAGGGAGCAAACCAGTCAGCAGTGCTCCTCTGTGATCTGTGCTTCAGCTCCTGACTCCAGGTACCTGCCTTGAGTTCCTGCCTTGGTTTCCTTCAGTGATAGACTGTGACCTGAGAGTTGTAAGATGAAATAAACCCTGTCCTCCCCAACAGAAAAGCAAACTAGGGCATAGGGAAATATCCAAGGTCAACCTCTTGCCACGACACACACCCCGCATGGGGAAGTCCACCTGTACACTGACCCCCTCCTCCACCCCCAGCAGCAAAAAAGGTAAATGGGCTCAAAAAGGAATGTGTTAAGTACACTACCCACCACCCAGAGGAAAACTGCTGCTGTACCTTCCAAGGTGATTAAGATGTAATGACATTGTTCTCCAGTGGAGGAATTCCTGGGCCTTAGCAGATCAGAAAAGTGAAGAAAACCTTCACAGCCCACATCTCTAGGGATGGCACGTGACCACATTTTAAGCCCACCCCCATCCTTTGCTGGAAGGATTTAGTCATTAAGGACTCTCTGGTCCTTCTCTCCCTTATCCCTTCGAAGGGCAGTGTTGAGGGATGAATGGTCATGGTAGGGCGTGGCCTTAAGTTGAAAACTTTGGGGTTTGTTTAAACATTTTTCCTGCACTGTTTTCCTCAAATGACTTGAGAATCGGAGCTGTCAGCATGTCATTTGGGCTGTTTCTGCAGTGGGGCCCTGTGCAGGTGCCTTTAGGAGTGAATGACTGAATCACAAAATTCCACTTTTAAACCATTTCCTGTGTTCTCTGTTATACACGTCTGTATGTGCAGGTGCACATATCCAGATGGAGGCTGGAGGTCAGTTTTGGTGTTCGTTCCACAGTCCCCATCCACCATATTTTTTGAGACAGGTCTCTCTCACTGGCCTGGAATTTTGTAGGGACCCTCTACATGGCCTCAGTGTGCTGGCCCATTTGTCCCCTGTCTCCTCCTCTCTGGACTCTGCCCTCTGTGCTCCTGCTCTCATAAGGGTCTCTGTGATTACCTTGCTTCCATTCAGATGATCTGGAATTAACATCCCACCTAAAGATCCTAAATATGGCCATGTCAGGGAACACATGTACACAGGGACACAAGACACACACAGGGAATCAGATGGTGATATCTTTGGAGGGTCATTATTTGATTTGCTAGACTCCCTTGTCAGATATTTGTACGTTGTCTAATATTTTGATTCACTGTTATTTGGGGTCTGTATGTACAGGGTGGGGGCCAGCACTGTGGTCCTGACTCGTGTGACATTAGGCCGCGTGCACACGCCTAGGGCTTTGCCTTCCTTCATATATAAAATGATCGATCTTTAGGCTTATTTCAGATGTAAATTTCTGGTTTGGGCATTTGTATGTGACTCCTCCCAGCTCTCCTCTGCTGGGGTAGGTAGGGTGAAACTCTAAGAAAGAATGACATGTGTGCGCTTTGCACGTTCACACTTACCCAGCTGTATTTATACCCGACATGCTCATTTCATTTCATTTTTAGTATGTCTGATTTCTGTTTATTCCAGATCTATAACTGAATAGGCATGCTGCAAGGGCTGCTGTTAACAGGGGTGATAAATGCATTTATGGTTCCTAAAGGCTTAAGAAAATGGATGTCCTCAGATGGGAAGCTTACGCCTGCTCTGGGCTTCCATTACCTGCTGCCGCAGTTACCTTCTGTTAAACAGTCACTATAAAATGCTAAATAAACTTAATAACTAGTAAGAACCTTGCTTGTCAGTTGGGGACACTTACATTTTATGAATTTGGTGAAAATACTTGAGAAAATGGAATTTTCTAGGTATGTGCGGGTTTGATGCTTGAGAATTTCTGCGCACCTTTGGAAGTGAAGTACCTTGTGTTGACTTTTTAGAAAGGGTTTTAGAAGCTGTGCAGTCTTCTTTGCAGAAAGAGCAAAACTCTTCCCATCATAATAAAGGAATTCAGTATCAACCAAGTCCTCAGTAGGCCTTGTGGTGCTAGACCGGTTCGTGCGGTTCTTCTCTTCGACGGAGGGAACGTGTACATGAGTCTGGGACACGTCACAGGTTGTTGGACAGTCACTCTGCATCTTCTAATGTCACTCTCTGCTTTCTTTTCCTCCACCAGCTTTTTATAACTATGATGCCAGGGGAGCAGACGAACTGTCCCTGCAGATAGGAGACACTGTACACATCCTAGAAACGTATGAAGGTGAGTGGTATCTTGGGTTTCTTGTCTGGGGAGTTGGGAGGCTTCCTCAGGCCTACTGGGCAAAGCCTTTCCCTGCTACAAAACATAACAGTGTTCTGTTCTCAGAATCCTTTTCCTACAGGTAGATGCTGTTCCATGTAAGGGTGGTAGGGCAGTTTTTTGTTGATAAATAAGACTTTATTAAGAATAATTTAAAACTAAATTTCATTTTAAACCCCTAAATGCTCCTCATTGGCTCATTTTGTGAGTCTATGTGTCCTGGTTTGGTTTCTGTTGCTGTGATAAACACCATGACCAAAAAGCAATCTGGGGAGGAAAGGGTTTATTTGGCTTTCATCATCTAGGGAAGCCAAGGCAGGAACCTGGAAGCAGGACGCAGAGGCAGGAGCTGGAGCACAGGCCATGGAGGATCGCTTCCTGGCTTGCTCCTGTGGTCTGTGCTCAGCCTCCTTTCTTATACAACCCAGGACCACCTGGCCAGGGTGACACTGCCCACAGTGAGTTGGGCCCTCCTACATCAACCAACAGTCACGAAAATGCCCTACGGACGTGCCTACAGGCCAGTCTGATGGAGGAAATGCCTCACTTGAAGTTCCTTCTTTCTAGATATCTCTCTCTAGTTTGCCTCAAGCTGACAGAACCTAACCTGCAGGGTTTGTAAATCTTGACCGAAACTGACCACTTGAGGAAAAAGATTTAAGATTTCAGTTTGTTGATCGGATGCATGATTGGATTTGTGAGCTTTGTTATTTTCTAAAGTGTTCTCCGATTGTGTTGTTAACAGTGTGTCTCAGGGACCACAATGGTCAGTTCTTATTTCCTATGCTTTTCTTCATCTGTGACCCACATTTTCTTAGGGGTGAACAGATCATCAGTTATATGGGACACAGTTCAATGAAGCAGTTGTCCTGGTTGTCTGATACACAACCAGGCTCTAATAGTTTTTCTAGTGCCCTTGACTTTGACAATGGTCTCTTTATATGTAGTGACCAGAACATTATTGAGTGGACCACTGTTTGTTTTCTGCTGTGGTTATTATCAATACAGGGGCAGTGGCAGGGCTTGGTTTTCTTTTTTTTTCTTTTTAGTTGCTGTTTCCATCTCAAGGTTTCCTTAAGACTGTGTTTTTGGGGGCTGGAGAGATGGCTCAACAGTTAAAAGCACTGACTGCTCTTGCAGAGGACCTAGGTTTGAGTCCCAGCACCCATGTGGTGGCTAACAATCATGTGTAACTCTAGTTCCAAGGGATCTGATGCCCTCTTCTGGCCTCCTTGGGCATTGCACAATATAGGTGCACTTACACACTCAGGCAATGCGCTCATACACATACAATAAAAATAAATAGTTTTAAAAAGACTGTTTTGTGTTGTTGACTTTCTTTTCTGCTTGAAGAGGTGATTCCTAGATAGCTTGAATAAGAAGAAATCAATTTAAAACTAAACTTGATGAAGTTACAAGATTTAAATAACTGAGTTACTTTTAGATTAGGTTTTGTAAAACTCTTCCAAGTGCGGGAGGAGATTGTGGACATCCCATAGTAATCAACAAATCGAGCTTCTGGAGAGGTTTCACACCTCACTTTGCACAGGAATGAGCTGTGCTCCACTTCCACATGCCAGGCAAGCAGCAGCTGGCTCCCACGTCCCTAGGCGACACCTCCGAGGGACAGAGCCTTATCAAAATCCAGCTCGTGTCCTGGTCCTTTTTTCCCATCCGATGCATGTAGACTTACAACGTCATCGTATTTGCACCTTTTACTCCAGAAAAAAAAAAAAAAGCCCGATCTTGAAAAACAAAGGAAAGTCGTTCTTAGTGGCAGATGCCTCGAAGCAGATGTGGCTCTGCGAAACGGAGCTCGTCCTTAAGTGAACGGGGACAGCTCTGATGGGTTCCTTCTGCTTGTTTTCAGAGCTGACAGCTGACAGTTGGATTTCCTTATCTGCTCCCAGTTCGTGTTACCAGTGGCTCTGAGGAAACAGGGGAATGAAGTCGAGGTGAAGGATCAGACCCTCACCCCAGCTTTTCCTCATCTGGAAGGAAATGCTCTGAAAGCTTTAAAAAAAAAAAATTTGCCCTGAGTCAGTTGAACGTGAAATTCCTGGGTCATCCGTGCTGAGCAATGATGTCTTTCTTGAGTCTTTAATGATTTCCCAGGGCACCTGGGTGTGGGGACTGCAGTGTGAGTGCTTCAAGAATAGAATGTCACCTTTCAGCCATTCCACCGTTAAGTCATATCAGTCAGCCTTAGTAGACACTGACTTCATGATCATTTGCTGGTGGCCTTTGACTCTGAGGCTGACATCATGAGAAGTCTTCAGTGAGGGTTAATTTGCAGGCCAGTCTTAGTTCTGATTAAAACAATGCAGTCTTTGCAGACTCTTTGACACAAAATGCTAAATGTCCCTTCCTGGACAACTAAGGTTTTGTTAGAGTCTAATCTGAAAAATGCATTCACTGCACTGATTCTGGCTTCGGGAGACTGGGTGACTTTATCATCAGGTTGAATCAGAGAACCGTGCCTCCGTTTGCATCCCTGCACCGCCTGCCTGTGTGGTTTCACATCTCATGAGCCTTGGAGTTCGGCTCCTCCTTCCCCTTCCTCTGCTTCTCTGTCAGCCTTGATTTTGTTTTGCTTTGTGATCCAGGATCTTACCCAAGATGCTGTGGAAATGGTAATTTCTAGATGAACACCCTGCTCCCTCTACCCCGTACCTTGCTTTATTTGTTTTTAAGATGATTACTCTTTAAAAAAAAAACAAAACACTTTATTTAGTATTTTTACTTTACGTGTATGAGCGTATTGTTTGCATGTAGGTAGGTAGGCGCACCCGTGTCATGAAGGACAGTTGTTAGTCACCATGTGGGTGCTGAGAATCAAATCTGGGGCCTCTGTAAGAGCAGCTGGTGCTGCTGTTGAGCCATCTCTCCAGCCCCAATTACTCTTTATTTAATGAAGCTCAGTGGTCACATTTACAGTTAAGTGTGGTTAGCATTTTCCTTTATGTAATGGTTAACTGCTCTGTCAGGTTTGTCAAAGTGGAGGTGTGCCCACCTGCAGCCCATAGGCCGCATGCAGCTAACTGTGAATGTAACCCAACACAAAATCGGAAACTTAATTGAAACATTGTGAGATTGGTTTTGTTGTTTGCTCCTCTCTCAGCATGAACTTTGTGGACAACAACGTTATGAAAAGGTTGGGCACACCAGATACAGCCAAGAAAAGCTGCCTTCAGGTCTCATCAAGGCGTGCGTGTGGCGGGAGGCGGCAGACCTATTCAATTCAGAGTCCTGCCTTCAAGTCAGGCCAGTGTTCAGCATTTCTGAGGTGACTTTGATGCTGTTTAGGTTTCCCCTGGATGCTGTTCCTGGAAGAAGTTGTAGGCTTTGCACAAATGTTAGGAAATTCTCTTTTTGATGTAGCTGTGACACCTGAACCTGATGGATCCAAATTTTAAACAGTGATAACAATATATTTTCTTCCCAAATGACTTGCCACCCCTGATCTCAAGGACTATATTTCTGCCATGTTTGCCCGTCTTTCCAGTGAGAGTCTTCCGTTGGCCAGGTGGAGGTCGCCAGCAAACCCTGCCCGGGGAGTTCTACTGTCTGAGCACCGCTACCGCAGCGTGCACACAGCCCTGAGTCACTCCTGCAGGGCATTTTTCCTCCTTCATACTGACCTCCCAGGCACACAGCACTGTGTGTGGCTTGGCCCTGTTTGTCTCAGGCGTCTTGTGGGTTATGAGCTCACTGAGGGCAGAGATCAGGTCAGGGCTGTGTCTGTAATTGCTGTGCAAAGGGAGGATTCTGGCAGGAAGTGAATGGGTCCTGTTTGATGAAGGAGTTAGGGTGCAGAGCATGGAAGGGAATCCTTTGCTTAGAAATCTCATTACAGAAGAAACTACCACTGGATATTAAGGAAAACAGTTTTCTTCTTATCCCCGTAATGAGGCCCTTCCCCCAAAGAAACAAAGCTCTTTTCCTGTGCCTGTGTTCTTCTCCTGTGTGTGGCATGTATTTCTTACTGGAGATAAATGTGGTACAACTTTGGTTTGTATCTCTTTGCTTCTACTTTGGGGTATGTGACCCCTTGGTCTCACTGCCTTGTGAACACACGCCACGTTTTACAAACAGGGATGGGACTTAGCGGTCTCAACTTATGCCTCTAGAATCTGGCTGCCAGGGCCATCTCGTACCTGCCCTGTGTGAAGGAGCAAAGCTGTCTTTGGGCTGTTTTCTCAGGAGGGGTTGATGGCCTTGGGTGTGGGGCTCATGCAGTTGGGGCGGGCTGTGTCTGCTGGGCCCAGCAGCAGCCACCACACACACTGAGAGCAGTGCCCAGGGCAGCCACATCCTGAACCTCCATTTCCCACCTCTCTTATTTTGGGGCAGAATGGGAGGTTGTGCGTTTTAACTTCACTGATTTGTGATACATTCGTGTGTCTGCTCATTCTTTGTAAGTCTTTCGGGTTTCTTTGATGAACAGTTTATACAGTTAGCTCCTAAAAAAAAATTGGTTTCTGACTTTTTCTTATCTCTGGTTTCTCCTTGCATATTCTAGGATGTTAATCCTTTGTCATTTTCAGAGGAGAAAGGGTGTACTAATGCTGAACGGGAGGAGAGGGCAGAGTAACAGATAAAGAACAGTCTTTAGACTGAGTGTCCACAGCCTTTGAATAACTCATTAGATCACAGTCTTTCTGTTTCCTCAGTCTATGAACACTGTGGGCCAGACAGGTGGGCACAGATTCCAGGCTACCCTAGCTGGGACCTCGACACTGTGGTCATCAGATGATCCTTCAGATATATGCCCAGCACATGACATCTAGTACTTGCAGCATCGATCCTTCAGATATATGCCCAGCACATGACATCTAGTACTTGCAGCATCGATCCTTCAGATATATGCCCAGCACATGACATCTAGTACTTGCAGCATCGATCCTTCAGATATATGCCCAGCACATGACATCTAGTACTTGCAGCATCCTCCCTCAGTCTGTTTGGTCCCTGTGTTGAGAGAACAGAGCAGGTGCATTTGCCCTAACCGTGCCTTACAAATCCTTCGCAGGGTTCTGGGAGCTCCCGTCCCCTTCTTTGGATGTTTAGAGAGCAGCTCTTCAATCCCCCTCGAGGGTTCTGCTCATGTCAGAGCATCCCTTTCTGGGACACAGTCGTTCTCTGCATGATTCTGGTTGTTAGTATGAACGCTTTCTGAGAGGGAAGAAGGACCTCCACCATGTTGGCCGTTGGCATTTTGTTTCCTTTAGAGTTCTCGTGGATGTCTGCGGGCTCTGGGGTCTGACACTTATGGGTGCATGAAACCCCATGCAGTGATTCTCTGGGAATTTACCCACCTCATGGTTCCACATTTCCCCCTCCCTTTGCAAGGTCCATTCCTCCTGTGGGAAAGAGTTGTGCTTTATCTCTGAGCCTTTGAGTTACTTCCCAGAAGCAAGGTAGCCAGGGATTTCTTTTTTTTAAATAAAGATTTTACTTTTATGTCTGAGTGTCTTGCCTGCCTGCATGTATGTAAGTGCACCTGTGTTGTGCAGTGCCCACAGAGGCAAGCAGCAGGTGTTGGATCCCCTGGAACTGGAATTGTAGATGTTCTTAGCCATCATGTAGGTGCTGGGAACTGAACCCAGGTCCTCTGCAAGAGCAGTCAGTGCTCTTAACCGCTGAAACATCTCTCGAGCTCCTTTCCCCCATGCCCCACCTGATTTCTTGACATGGTGGCATTGTGGAGAGGTGGGTTCCTGGCTGTGGGCCTCTTGGCTTGTGCAGGGATGAGTGTTCACACTTGCCCTTGATGGGAGGTGCCATGGGTGGGGTGCGGTCTGCTCTGAAGCATCTCTTCCATTCAGCTTGATGTGGACAGTTTGAGTGGACAGTCTTTCCTTCTACTTTGCCGTGTGGAGGGATGGAAGGATGGACCGGGGCCCACCCCTATGGGCACAGGGCTCCATGAGCACTTGGCCCTGGCACTTCCGTTGAGAGCTGTCTTTACCACAGTAGTACTTTTGTGAGATTATGTGGCTGCCTCAGGGCAGAGTCTTGCAGAGGGAGGAAGTGAGTTCTCAATAGATTTTCTGTTGGGGCTGACAATCTGAGAAGCTGGTTGTTGCAGTTGGAGAGACCTTGAGCCAAGTCAGAGGCGGGAGAGACGGGAAAATGCATATGTAAGGAGCCTACTTGGGAACACTGAGTAGAAGGACAAACTCTTCCCTAGGAAGTAATCTTAGTTTACCGATAGGCCAGATGAGGCAGGTGGTGATGAAGTGGGAGGTGCATGTACGCAGGGAGCTTGTCAAGTGGCTCCTCTTAAAGGTCTCAGAAAGGTGGTCTTTCCTGGTTCTGCAAAGCAGTGACTTCCGCTCACCTTGAAGGCTTTGCTACACTCTGCTGTGTCTGACTGCACTAACCATTTCAACTTTGTTTGTTTAGGGTGGTACAGAGGCTACACTTTAAGGAAAAAGTCTAAGAAGGTAAGTCTTTTTCATTAAATACAACCTATGTCCCTTCATAAATCAAACTGTGAGAGGAAATCAATTTGATCTCATTTGTGTATGAATTTTACTTACATATCTTTTTCTCAGAATTTAACAAATATATGGGCTGAGATGGGAATGACCTTGAATTGTTTTCTTCTGACCAATATGAGTCCATAGATACTACACCTTCATCTGGGAGTGGTGGCTCATGCCTGTCATCCCAACACTAGGCCAGCCTGGTCTACATAATGAGATCCTGTCCTCCCTAAAAAAGTTTCAGCTCAGCAGGTTAGTGCCTTGTAGAGCAGTGATGTGGTCATGAAAGGATTCTTTTTGTTCTGATGTAATTTAGTATCCTGGTTAAGCATCGTGTCTAGGCATGGACTGAGTTCAACACGTTTAGAAAGCATAACGCTGCTAATGGTTTTCAGTTTTCTATTATTTTTGCTAAATTAACAAGTTTGCAAAGCTCACATATGGCCATTTCCCTTCTGCTTGTGACAGTTTTCAGACTGCCTAAGTCTAGTTGGTAGAAAACAAAGTTGCCTTTCTAGGGCGGGCTGCATGTGTGGTTCTGTGACTATCTGAAACTGAAATATGTAATTACTCCTCAGATATTGTGGGGGACACTCCCATGTACAAGTCTGTGTGGCTTCAACATTGTAAGTCCACAAAACCTAACTACGGCTCTTCTCTTCACTCTGCAGTGCTGCGGTACTGAAGTAATGCCCCCGGCTAAGCTGTGGGCATGCTAACTCTGACATTTTAATATTTGATTGTGCTTGACAGATGGTTCATTTTAATTCTCAGAATTTGCCTCGCATTATCTCTGCATCAGGCTGGGCTTGCCATTGTGATCCAGAGAGCCTGTAAAAGGGCTTTGGAAGCCCAGCAGCTCCCATGCCAGCACCTCTCTGTTTTCAGCCTCAGAAGCCCGAGGCAGCCTGAACTAGCCTGAGTCAGCCCAAGGCAACCTGAGCTAGCCTGGCTGGAGCTCTGTGAGGCCTATGAAGCTGTCCCTCTCTTATAGGTATCACTTGGGAAGGGTCCAGGTTGGTCGCCAAGGCAGCTTCCCTCTGGCATGGCCATGTGGATGTCCTGGTGAGGGAGCGACCCTCAGGAGTGGTGGTGAGGAGACAGGCAGGTTGGAGGCTCTGCTGGGCTCAGACTGGGCTATACGTCTTTACAGATCCATGACCCAGGGCCAGGAAGTCTGGACAAGATCAATTTCAACCTAGTAGGGGATAGAATTGATTCTTGCAGAGAAAGTTTTCTTTTCACATTGATTTCTTTTTTTCCCATGAAAGATGTGTTCCTCTAGGGGAAACCTTGAGTTTCTTCTGGGTGAGCCCCAGTTGATGACTTTAGTAATCAAGAGATTAGGATCATGGGGCTGTGGAGATTTCTCAGTTGGTTAAGTGCTTGGTACTGCAGACCTGAGTTCAGTCCTAGCACTCAGATTAAAAGTCTTAAAACTGAGCTGGTGGCATGTATTTATATTCCTAATACTGGGAAGGCAGAGTTGGGACTGGCCAGTCAGACTAGTCCAATTGGCAAGCCCCAAGTTGTACTGAGAGACCTCGTCTCAAAAAGCAGGGTGGATGACTCCTAAGGAGCGACACCTGCAGTTGACTCCACATGTATGTGGAGCATGTGGACAGCCCCACAGTTCGGGCTATGGACTAACTCTTCTTTCCTACTCCTTTGTTAACAGGACAAAGCTCTGCTATGAGGGCCACCTGAGGACCCCCCCTCCCCTATTGGCGGGAGGAAACTGAATCTTGCAGAGGTTGTGTTTGGGGCCCCCCAAGTAGAAGGAGGAGACAAGACCCTTAGGAATCCTGGCCTTGAGCATGGGCTAAGCATCGACGACATGAATCTTTACTCATGCACACTTGTGCTGAGCAGTTGCTCATTTCAGACCTCCAGGCCTGCTCAGTTTTATCCAGTCACAGTCCCTCCTCAGTCTTCATGCTTAGTGAGGCCTGGGGACCTTGGCCTGGGGACGTGGCGGAGCTGGAGTGACTTGTGTGCTGTCTTACCCCGATCCAAACCCACGCCTGTTGGCATTATAGAGCAGTGTTCTGTGGGCACCTGCAGGCCAGTCTGGGGTATGGAATTGTCTTGGTGCCCAGGAACTGGACCTCTTGGTTTCTCAGTCACTGACTTCCTGTCTGACTCCTCCTTACTCTGTGATAGTATTTATTTATATGAAATACAGCTACTTTCCTGGTGAGCGGGAGAGGCAATGTCAGTGTTCCACAGCCCTGATCAGCCCTTCCCATGATTGGCAGTTTGCTTTCTGGATCCTCTGTGTAGATCCTTTGGGGTAGATGTTTAGGGAATAGTGCCTTGAGGTTCCAGGGTACTTCTGGGTTTCCACTAAAGCATTAGTGGTTACTGGCTTACGCTGTCTCAGACCCTGGTGATTACTGACATACACTGCTGTGGACTCTGTGTGTGTCCTTCCTTCGTTTACTCCTGCTTCACACCCATAAAGACCTTATTTTTACACACTTAGGAAGATGGTCACAGCTCTTTTTAAATATTTAATTTTCTTTATTTTTATTGGATATGTATGAGTGTTTTGCTTGCACGTATATAAGTGCACCTGTGTTGTGCTGTGCTCACAGAGACCAGAAAAGGGCATTGGATCCCCTGGAGCTGGAGTTACACACAGTTGTTAGCTGTCATGTGGGTGCTGGGAACCAAACCTGGGTCCTCTTTAAGAACTGCCAGTGCTCTTAAGCACTTAGCCATCTCTCCAGTCCTGAACCACAGCTCCTCCTGGCACTTCTCAGACTGTACTTGATGATGAATGTTCTGCCAAGTAACTGTCTCCCTTGGGTAGGGCTCTGTTGGGCTGTGTGTCTGCACATACATGTGTGTGCATTTGAGTGCACACAGACTACACATGGGAAATTCAGAGCTTGGTAAAAACCTAAGTAACATGCTCCCTCTAGCACTCCTGTGGTTGGGATGAAATTCATCCCAGAAATTCATCCCACCTTCCAGCCTTTTACCTTTGGGCTTCCATTTGGAGTCTTGAAGGAGGCTCCATGGGTGTCTGTCAACAGTCAGTGAACAAATGGCAGTTCATGATTATTTAAACTAGCTTTCGATGATATTCGTGCCATTTCGTAAGGGGAAAACCGGCAGAGCCCATCATCAGAATTGGTTTTCATGTAGTGGATGTGCCAGTGTCAAGGTTGGCAGTAGAAAGGAGGGGCCCCCTGTGGAGAAGAGGGGTTTCCTGTGTCTGTGGAATGGCTGCTTTGTGAGCACAGTGTCACTTTTCTGCTAAGACATCTGCACACTGCAGTGCCAGCTGACGGAGTGCTCCCCCTGCACACTGCAGTGCCAGCTGACGGAGTGCTCCCCCTGCACACTGCAGTGCCAGCTGACGGAGTGCTCCCCCTGCACACTGCAGTGCTAGCTGATGGAGTGCTCCCCCTGCACACTGCAGTGCTAGCTGACGGAGTGCTCCCTTTTGTACCTGCTGTTTTCTTTGATGTGTTGTATGTGATGCGTATGCTTTCAGAATTAACGGTGACCCACCTCCTCATCTTTGGGGGCTGTGGTTTGGTTTGCAATCAGTGTTCACATTGGTAATAAACTCTTTTCTCTCCCTCATAGGGCATATTTCCCGCTTCATACATTCACCTTAAAGAAGCGATTGTTGAAGGAAAAGGGTGAGTTTCATCTTGAGGTTTCAGTCAAGAACTGAAATGATTGCATGAGGTGTTGCTGCCAAATATGTGGAAGGGCAGCAGGAGGCTAGAGAGATGGCTCGTCCATTAAGGACCAGAGATTGGTTCCTAGCACCCACAGTGGCAGTTTACAACTGCCTGTAACTGTAACTCCAGGGGATCCGATGCCCCCTCTGGACTCCAAGGGAACCTGTACTCACCTGCACATTCCCACTCCTTACCCCCACTCCGCCCCCAAGAGATGCACATGCGCACATAATTAAAAACAGTAAAAGTACATCTTTAAAGCAGATGGTAGTGTGACTGCCCGTGATGGTTCAGGATAAAATAGGACCCTGTGATTGAGTTTTGTGGGTCCCTACTTTGATCCTTTAAAGAGTCCGAGGTCTGTGCCATAGCTGTGGTTATTTTCTTTGAACCTGGGGTCCATTTTGGAAAGTTTTGGCCTCCACTAGACCTACAGTTGATAGTTACCCATTCGGCCCCCAGCTCTGACCCCATTTTTTTTCTGGACATCTTAGCAGGTCATGATGTAGAGTTGAACAGGTCATGTCCACTGTTAGATGGGACCACTGTGAATTTATGTCAGCTAAAAATGTGATGCTTCCTGTCATCAAACTGTATAAGATCCCTCAAAGAACCTTTGTAGAACAGGAACCCCTTAGGCAGGAGTGTTAACTGAATAGCCAGGTGTGAACTGGGGGTGGGGGTGGTGGGCAGAACATCCAAATGTTTCCTTTTTTGGTCTCTGTTCCATCTTCACACTCAGTTAAATATGTAAATTATAAAATCACTAATCATATGATTAGCCCATAATGACATCTCTTTGGCTGATTACAAAATTGCCTTTCAGAGGAGCACTGTACTTTAACATATGAAAAGGACGGTATTAGTTCAGCACTTCCCTGATGCATAATTAGGACGCGAGAAATCACTCGAATGGTGCTGACCTACAAGTTGGCTTTTTTTTTTTTTTTCCAGGCAGATAAAATGTTTTGTGGGCAAAGTTCTGAAGAGAAAGACAAAGTTTTGAAGCTTTTACCCTCTTACGGAAATCATTGAATAAAGTGTACATTTAATGCACTTTATACCTGCCAGGGTCTGAATCCTTGTATATGTCAGCTTGTATAGGATTAGAAATTTTTAAAAAGTGTTTAGAAGTATATAAAGGAAATATATATGCATGCATGTTTTACACACACACACGATGAAATTGGGGAGTGTAATATTAAGGTGACTGTAAAATTACCTTGACCCTGTGGATTGGTCCCTGGGTTCAGTGTGATAGGCCCTCAGAGCAATGGCGGAATAAGCAATACAGAACGGTTCTTGATACAGAACGGTTGTCCCGAGGTGTGTGGGGCTCTTGGCTCTTCCTCTCCATACTCCTTTCCTGGCCCTGATTGCCACTCCCACCTGGCTGCCTAGCTGTTTCCTCCTGTCAGGAGACCATGTGCTCTGTGTCCTCCAGACACTGCAGACATCCGCTCTCTTCCCTTGGCCCTTCCTCTTGTTGATGGCCCACTCAGCCATTGCCTCACCTCAGCCCACGTGCTTCTGTTCCTCAGGTTCATTATCACTACCCCGCTGCACACGCTCCTCTCTCTCCCTTTCTCTGTTTCTATCTCAATCTCTCTCTCTGTGTCTGTCTCTCTGTCTCTCTTTCTCTCTCTTTTTCACACACACACACACACACACACACATGCACGCACGCACGTACGCACGAGATCTCTCTATTATGTTAATTTTGCATTTCACACACACACACACACACACACACACACACACACACACGCACGCACGAGATCTCTCTATTATGTTAATTTTGCATGTTCTTTCTCTCCTGTGCGTTCTCTCTTCCATGGCCTCCGCCTTGCCTGGGCTCTCTCTCCTCTCAGAACCCTGGCCATCACTTCTTTAGTGATCTCTTCATGCTGTGGCTGTGATTCTGTACTTTTTCTCCTATAACAAAGCAATTCCCATTTTGTCGTGTTCCTGCCCCCCGTACATGACCTGTGTTTCCTCATTCTGACCACCATTTCCTGTGAAGCCCTCTGTGAGAACCAAAACCCTTGTATCCTCTTCTCCCTCCTTCCCTGACCTCCCACACACTTCACTTTCAGGGCCACAACATTTCTTTGGGGCCCCTCCATTGTGACCTGGCTCGGGTTGGTCCCACACCTTGAGCTGGTCCCTCTCTGTGGATAAGTGCTGGAATCTAGAGCTCTAGCCCCGACCTTTCCTGGATGTCTGCCTCAGGCAGCTACAAGTGGCACAGAATCACCAGCTGGGAGTAGGGGTGCATCAGGGTCATCCCAGCTTCCATTTGGGAGGTGGGAGTTCAGGATCCTTGTGTGTAACATCAGAAAACCGACCAGAGTCACCTTTGCCGGCTCAGGGTTTGCTCTCTTGCATTTGTACATTTATGGTGTGTTGTGATGTTTTGAAATATGTATATATTGTGGAATGCCTGTCAGGCTAATTCACATGTAGCAATTATGTGAGGCTACCTTAGCGTATTTTCTGTGGTGAGAGCACTTAAAATCTACACTCTGGCTTCTTTCAAGTTTAGAGTATGTCTTTAGTGACTGTGGTCACTATGTTGGACAGTATAGTCCTTGAATTACTTCTGTTTAATAGAAATGCTACCTCCTTTCTCCAACATGCCCTTCATCCTAGCCTGTGTCCCGTCTATACTCACTGAAGCTTGGTGGGACTCGTCCCTTGTGTGCCATGGTCTTACCCACAGTGGATGAGGTGGGCATTGGGCTGTGCCTTGGTGATGTCTGGAAGGTACAATGAGATCACGTTCACTTTTGCCAGTTGGCAAGCTAATCCCTGGGTCTGTGGAAAGGAAGGTAGGTAGGCAGGAACTAGAATGGAGCCTAGGAGTTAGTGTGTGCAGTCAGACCCCCCTCAGTCACATGGGTACAGTTTGTCATACCGAAGCTCCAGATAGGCAGTGTGAAGAGGCTACCCCCTCCCCTAGACTCAGTGTGACCCTCAGATCTGTGAGGTGACAGGCGAATGTTCCGATACGGCCAGCAGAGAGCCATTTCTCCTTGTAGACTTTGCAGGATGATGCTGTAGATAGTAAGGATCCCCATCTGTCAGCATCCTTACAGGGAAGCTAGGCAGGCTGTTTAGCAGTAAACATGGGTAGTGTCCCACTGTGGGACTCCTTAGCAGTAGTGTAGTGTCCTGGGGACTGGTTATAGGAAATCCTCCTGAGACATGGGTCTAGACCTCCCTGAAGTGATCAGCATTTCTTAAGGGACTCTGCTGTCTCTTATTTTGGGAGCCCCCTCCCACCACTGTTAGTAAGCCACTGCAGGCCCAAACCCCAACTGTAAGCCAAAGTTCTTCCTTCAGGTCTGGACCCCTTATAGGGTGACAGTAGCGTTTCTGCAGTGACCAGCTTCTGGTCTTTTCAGACCCAAAGAACAGCCCTGGGGCTGGATTGCCTAAACACACACACAAGCTTCTCACCCAGTTCCTTATAGACCCAGTTATATCAGCAGTGTCTGATCCAGAAAAGTGCCTGATGTGATTTTAAGAACTCGAGAAATAGCCTGGCCAAACCCTTTAATCCTAGAATTCGGGAGGCAGAGGTAGGTGGATCCCTGTGAGACGCCTAGGTTGATCTATGTAGTGAGTTCCAGGCCAGCTGGGGCTACATAGTGAGACCCTGTCACAAACAAACACATACCTCAAACCCCACCCCCAAATAATACAAAATGGAAAGAAAAACCCTAAGCCCCCAAAACCTGAGAAATAAAAACCCACAAAGCAGTGAGTACATAAACAGATAAAGGGTTAAATCCAGGTCAAGGGTTAAATCTTGACGGGAGAGATCAATAGGTAGTCACGGGTGGGACTGGGCAGAGTCCTTGTGGACACTTGAAAGCTTGTAGCCTTGCTGACATTTCAGCAAGGACATAACTGCTCCCTCGATTATCATATAATGAGTTTTGTGCATGATAGAAATGTAAAAATAATCTCAACCCAAACCTTCATCTTAATGCCAACACAGACTGGATGCCATGCATGGTGTGTGTGCCATGTATGGTGTGTACAGATGGCTGTGCATACATATTACCGGTGGCCTTTTGGCTTCCTAGCCTTTTGCGTGCTGAAAACGTTCAGTGACTATTCTTTGTTTCTTTCGTCTCACCTGGACCCACAAGGTGCATGGCTTGCGCGCAGGGTAATGTGTGAGTACCCCCAAGCTCTACAGATATCTTGTTTTTCCTAGAGATATGTGCTTATATGTGAGCACAGTCATGTTTGTGTGTTCTCTGCTCGTTTAATCGCTGAAGTCCATGGCCCCTGTGGGGACTTGATCGGTATGGCTCACAGGTGCCAATGAAGGTGTGAAACAAGCTGCTTTCTTCTTTCTTCGTCCCAGGCAACATGAAACTGTCATCCCAGGCGACCTCCCTCTCATACAGGAAGTCACCACAACGCTGCGAGAGTGGTCCACCATCTGGAGGCAGCTCTACGTGGTAAGAAAATAGGATACTTACTCAAAGCTTAAAATAGAGAGTAGTGTTTTTGGCTTTGTTCTACCAACTAATCTTCCTTACCCTGGGAACCGGGGGAGGAGAACCTCTGGGATAGGGTCTTGGTTAGCAAGGACGGAGAAAGCGATATGGCCATTGGTCTGGCTGCTGTTGGGGGGCCCTCTGGCCTTTGACCTTGTTGTTCTGAAGCTTGCTCACTGAAATGAATAAAGCAGACTGTAATGGAAGTTGACCTTGGATCCCTCTTCCCTTCTGTTGGACAAAGGGTCTGTGGCTGCTGCCTGGCCCGTTAAAAAATGGACAAGGCAGTTTATGTTACTATCCCCTCAGTGTATATTTTGATTCTGAAGACCAAAATCTACTTTTAAACAGAAATAGCTTATCTTTGAAGATTAAATAGAGGGTTATTGCTAATTTTTATTTACTTTTTGCCATTGTCTGTCTTACCTGTAAGTAATGGTTTTATAGTTTGAGAAAAATGTCAGTCTTTTATCTGTGCCCATGGTGGGTAGGGACCGTTTTACATTCTGGCTTTGTGAGCACTTGTCCGGTTCTCGTTAATGCGGGTGTGTTGGAGCTCTGACATCTTCCATTTCATTTTCCCGCAGGGCATTGCTTTGCACATAAATTCATATTTGCAGAAGATTACCTTTTGTTAAGCCTGTATTTCTATTCAGAGTGTTGATTTCTCATATGCTAATGTTATTATCACCGAGCAAGGGCTCTGGAAGGAAGTCAGCACGTTAATTTCTTGGGAACATAGAAAACTTCCTAAAGTCTCCGCAGCTGTTGCTGGGCAGGCTTGTTGTTTTTGATTATACAGTGGTTTCCTATAAATGCACAGTAATAAGCACTTGCAGTAATTGTTCATCAAACGCACTCAAAAAAACCTAAAAGCATAAAGTTAGCCGCGAATGTTTTGTGTAAATCTGGGCAATTTCATAGTCGGTATTTCATGTTCAACTTAGCAATTTTTAAAAACAAAAATGGCAACAAAACAAACAGGAGTTGTGGTGGACTAATATGTGAATGGACAGTGGTGGCCTCACCTTCTAGAACCTTCCTAGCCATCACCTGGTTCCTTTTAGAAATGATAAATTGGCCTCTGATGGGTTTATACTGTTGGATTTGTAGAACACCAAGTCAATGGCAATAAATAGCATAAATTTATAAAATTTTTAGGTACATTTTTTTAGTTAATCTCTGGGGTTCTAGAAAACCCAGCAAAATAGAATGAATTTCTTCTATGGCTTTAGGGAAATGAACAGGTAAATTGGTAAGACGAACAACCTTTGCAATAAATTTTTAGTTTTGACTATTTAGCTTTCATTTAGGACATCAAATTAGGAGCTGGGCATAGTGGTGCACATTTGTAGTGTAACCACTCAGCAGGTAGCGGTAGGAGAATCAAGAGTTTAAGGCCAGTGTCAGGAACATACTGAGCTAGAGGCTAGCCTGGGCTATATGAGTCCCTGTCTTAAAAAATAATAGGGAAGGAAGGAAGGAAAGAGGGAAGGAAGGAAGGAGGGAGGGAAGGAAGGAAGGAATTAAACTTAGGGTAATATAAAATTAGTTTATGAGGGGGCTGGAGAGGTGACTGGGTGCTTAAGAGCACTTGCTCCTCTTCCAGAGGACCAAAGTTGGGTGACTCACAACCACCTTAACTCCAGCTTTAGGAGGCCCTTTTTTCTGGCCTCTGCATGTTCAGCTATGTGCACACCACCCTTCTCCCACCCATAAATTAAAAAGACCAGTTTGTGGGATACAAAATAATTTGCTAGGGTGCTATGTATAGGGTAGGTGGTAGGGCTCTTAGAAACTCCTAGAAAAGTAAGTCTCACATGGTTTTCAAATGCTGGTTAGTGTAGCGAATGGGTTAGGTATGTGGCGTAGGGATCATTTTTTAAAACAGCAGTGCCACATTTTAATTTTGGGTGGGATCATGGTGCTGGAGATACTGTTGATTGGGTCTCCCCTGGATTTCTGTTTCGAGGCAGACTCACCACAGGTGTCTTTCAACTCCTTGATGAGTTGTGCCTTCAGCTGCAAAGCTGATCTTCTTTGTACCATGAATCCCACCAGCATCTGTAGAAGGAGGTAAGAAGTGTGAGTTTTGGGTCTCACCTGCCAGGTTTTTCTCCTGGTATGAAAGCACCAGAATGCTTACATCTTCTCATAGTAACTTCCAGAAGCTTCTGGTATGCTGTGAAGGCCACAGTTCCCTGTGGAGGGTCAGTATGGGGCTGTGGCTCAGCTGACAGCCAGGTCTGGAGGCCCAGTAAGTACCTCAGGATGCTGCTGAAAGGCCCTGAGCATCGGGTACTCTGAAGATTCCCTAGGCTATGAAGGAGCAGAGCTGTCCTTGGAGGCTGGCACAGTAGATACTTTCAGATATGTTCAAACTTTTGACATTGAACACATTGTCATTTACAAAGTTCACACAATGGAGCATTAGAGTTAAAAAGAATCTCAATGTTTTAAGTAAGCTTATGATTTTGTGTTTGGCCTCATGGGCCCAAGAGCCGTGAATTGGACACATCTCCAAGCACTGGTCATGCACAGGGCCGATGCTGGGAGCTCAATGTCAAACTGAGGCTCCAGGTCCAGCTCTTCTGTGTGCTCCATGCTTGGGAATGTGGAGTACAGTCTTGGGGATGTGTGTTCCTTTCTATTCTTTGTCTTTATAGGAACCAAATTCTATATATTGTGCTCACTCTGATGCGAAAATCTGCTTCTCATTCACTGAATGCCATGAGACAGCACATGGTCCACCCGTGTATCTGAAGACATATCCATTCGATATGATCTCCACTATGCTATTTTTTAACCAGAAACCTTACAGTTGCCTTTTCTTTTTTCTTGTATAGCAAGATAATAGGGAAATGTTTCGAAGTGTGGGACACATGATCTATGACCTTATCGAGTGGCGGTCGCAGATTCTTTCTGGAACTCTGCCCCAGGATGAGCTCAAAGAGCTGAAGAAGAAGGTCACAGCCAAAATTGATTATGGAAACAGGTTTGTTTATTTGAATGATGATTTCATGCTTAAATTGCCCAGGGTAACAGCATAACCATGAAGCCTGGAGGAGTCAGCAGTTACATTTTATCATAAAACCCAATTTCTAGCATCAAACTAATGGCATGTTTTACGTTGAAAGGAATGAGGTGTTTTCTAATGGATCTGAAAATCAGGGGTTTACTGAGTCACCCTTGGAACCTGCTGTCTTTGTTTTGCAAGTGTCGGAGCCACGAAGCTGGGGTGAGGCAAGCCTGCCATCATCACTGTTTTAGGGGAACCACAGTGGTCCATAGGGAGCTCTGACTTGGTGCTCACGGCATTTGACATCCAGCCCAGATAGGCAGTAGCGGGCGATAGGTTTCTCTCTATGGCTCCCTCAGTCCGTGTACCTGACTAGATACTAGAGCTCACCACAAAACTCATCCGCAGGGTAGGTGTGCCTGATGAAACAAACAGAAGCCCAGCTTGCTAAGTTTGAATTCAACAAATTGTTGACTTTTCTAAGTAGATCTCTTGTTCCCACCCATGGGAGGCTTCCACCCTGTTTGCTGAGTGCCTTTATGAATAGTCCTCTTATTCTGTGGACAGAGTGCTCTGGGGTTAGCTGGCATCTTCTGATGCTGCAGTCAGCATGACTGTTTTGAGCTTAATTCTGACACTTCTCAAACCAGGATGATCCCATCTGGTGGTCTGTCAGTCTTTTTTTTTCTTTATTATTTTTATTTTATGTGTACGAGTGTATTGCCTGCATGTAGGTAGGTGCGCCCATGTCAGCTTAATTCTGACACTTCTCAAACCAGGATGATCCCATCTGGTGGTCTGTCGGTCTTTTTTTTCTTTATTATTTTTATTTTATGTGTACGAGTATATTGCCTGCATGTAGGTAGGTGCGCCCATGTAGTGCGATGCCCCAGGTGGTGAGAAGAGGTTGTCCTGGAACTGGAGTTACTGATGGTTGTTACCCGCCATGTGGGTTCAGGGAACCGAACCCGGGTCCTCTACAAGAGCAGTCAGTGCTCTTAACCTCTGAGCCATCTCTCCAGCCCTGATGCTGTGATCTTTCCCACCCAGTAACTATTTGCTTGTTCATATAATCTCAGAGCTGCCTGAAGCTTTTAAAGTGACTTGGTCCCTTGCTTCCTAGGTGCCTTTTAAGATTAGAATCACCTGGGTTGGTTTCAAAATACAGAATCCTTGGATCTTCTCCTTGGATTCTGAGTTCTGATGTCAGGTGCTGGGTCAAGAACTCCATTTTGGGCTGGAGAGCTGACTCAGCAGTTAAGAGCACTGGCTGCTCCCGCAGAAGATCCGGGTTCAGTTCCTAGCACCCACGTGGCGGCTAACAATGGTCAGTAACTCCAGGTCTGGGGTATCCAATGCCCCTTTCTGATCTCTGTGGACATTATGTGACTTGGGTGCACTTACACACATGCAGACAATATACTCATATACATAAAATAAAAATATTTTAAAAGCCTCAGTTTTTATGCAGAGTTGGACCGTGCTGGATGGCTAGTGGGAACCCTGGCTTTGTCCTCACCACTCCCCCTTTTTTACACCCTAGAATGTGGGCTGAGAGCTGGGAGAGGGCTTGCCTCCAGCAGGTCGGCTTGGACGATCGTTGGTGAGCCGCAGAACCTTCCTATAATACCCTCATTACTGAAGAATTTTGTTTTCTGGTAATCCCCATTTTCAAGTGTGAAAAGTTTCCTAAAGTCACCAGCATGGAGGGTTTGGGCTAAGACGCTGTGGGGAAAGCGTTTGGTTTTTCCTTTATTTCCTCCCCCTCTGAGGTCAGAAGTTCTGGGTATAGGATATTAGACGCTGTGGCCACAAAACCCAATACAGAGTTACCTGCTTAAAAGAGCAAACTTTAGGAGCTGTGATTTAATTTTTCTTTTGGAGAATCAAGTTTTGAGTTAGGTCCAGAGACCACCTGTTTAATCTGGCTGCAGGAAGCAACCTAAGTACGTTATGCCACGGAACAATCTAGTTAAGATAGAAAGTGTTTCCAAATGTAATTTATCACTTTGATAGGAAATGTAATCCTTAATAAGACAAGTTTGCCCGAGGTCACTAGTATTCTTCAAAGGCCCAGTGCCCTCTGCCCATCTTCCTGTTCCCTCCTTTGGAAAGCAAAATAATACCCACCCCCCAAATCAACAACAAAATCACAGTGTAGGAAATTTGAGTTTATGACAGTTGAGTTTCTCTAGGGGGTAGAGTTTGTATCTTTTTATTATCACTGGCTGTCTTTTATTTTCATGTTACCTGGTTGGGGAGGTCTCCAAGAGTCCTTGGAGAGTGTGGTGAAGGTTGGGGACTGTCTCTCTACAAAGATGGCCATGCACAATATACATACATGCTCACGTCTACACCCAGACATGTCCAGAGACATTGGCGCACACAGTCAAATACACATAGAAACCCACATGTACACATCTACACTTGGACACACCCAGGCCTTCCCAGAGCCCGTGGCATGCACACCCACACTGTGTGTACATAGAAACCTACATGCACATACCTATACCCAGACACATCCAGTGATAAAGACACATGTACATGCTCTGATTTCTGGCAGAGGAGTCCACCCCTTCCTCAGGTCCTTTGAGTTCCCATGGGATCAGTCTCTAGCCTTCCCGTGGTGAGGTGCACACTCCTCACCCAAACCAGCTGTGTACTGATTGTAGAGAACAATGATTTTTGATCGGTGTATGAGGCTACCTCATATAGAAGCTGGTGGGCGGTCTTATGGTAAGAGCTTGACTGTACACTGAGGCACTCTAGCACAGAAGCCAGCCTCTTAATCCTTTAGATGTTTGGTGTCAACCAGCTGAATAATTTCACTGAGCCTCAGTTTCCTCTTTGGTGATATGGGTCTGACCAGATCTCTTACAAAACTGATGTGACAATGACATGGCATGATGCTGGCAAAAGGCTCCGCGTATATTTTCTTTAAGGAGGTCTCATTCAGTATGACCTACAGGGCCTTGTGGCTGGAACTGCAGGAGCCCATGCACACCATCCACACACCACTGGCCCTACCCCACACAGCACTGACCCCACCTACACAGCCCTGACCCTGCCCACACAGCACTGATCCCACCCACACATCACTGACCCCGCCCACACAGCACTGATCCCACCCACACAGCACTGACCCCACCTACACAGCACTGATCCCACCCACACAGCATTGATCCCACCTACACAGCCCTGACCCTGCCCACACAGCCCTGACCCCACCTACACAGCACTGACCCCAC